GGGTCTTCTGCAAGAACAACCAGTGTTAACTGCTGGGCCATCTCTCCAGCCCCCAGGTGCTTTATTTCCATGTGTCATTTTGGTTGATAGTTTTAGACTGATCATTGCACCCCTGTGGTTTCCTTCCACGTGATATTTGGCTGCAAAAATTTGTCTGTGAGACTGATGGGCATTCGCAGGTGTCCTGTCATGGGCTGTAATTTGTCACCAAGTGGATGAAGTCGGGAGTGAATATTAAACATCTCTCCGAGTGGAAACCCCTTTCATTCATGGTGTGCTTTGCCAATGATGCCTGCCTCTTCTGCAAGGATGTGGCTCCCTAGCCATCAGCCAGGCATGGTGCACTGCGGCAGGAAGCTGGTGTGGTGGCTCGAGCCACTGACACTTGTGAGGCAGAGGCGGGAGAATTGCTGTGAGGTTGGAGCCAACCTCGTATACTAAGTAGGTCCAGCCAACCTGGGCTACAGGGTGAGACCCTGTCTCAACCACAAAGACCCCAGATGTGCTGAGGGCTTGCCTGGCTCATGAGAAGCCAGCAAGTTGTTTTGCTTCTGTTCTCTGGACACAGTCCCAGACATGTGACACCCTGAGCACCTCTGCATGCTCTGGCCTTACGGTGGCCCACGCTGTGTGTCCACAGACCGTGGCAGGGGAGTTGACCTCCCTGTTCTGCAGCCCTTTGGTGTGGCCGTTACCCACTGCCCACACTCTGATTCCTGCCACACTCATGTCCTTTTGGGTTGTGGGAGGCGCAGGTGCTATGTTCTCCAGTAGAGCTGATTGGTTCCTGATCCTGTGACCAGAGAAAGTGCTGGTGCAGCTGGCATTGGAAAGTGGTTCTCTGTAGGAGACCATCAGCTAATTCTGTTCTAGGGTGCTGTTTCTAACCGATTTCTTGCCATAGCATTTGGAAGGTAAGAACTGGTTCCCTTGTCCTAGGTAGGGTGCCATGTTTGATTGGCCCACAGCTGCTTTTCCCGTTCCTTACCAACCTGCCAGTCAGAGGTTGGCTCTGCACCCTCTGTGGTGGAGTGTCATTTCTCTGCCTGCATTAACTTGTTAGAGGGGATTTGAGAGGGTTCTACTCAGCTTGGCAGTGGCAGAAATAACAGTGTGAATTGGAAATGTCTTAGTTTACAGCATGAGTTTGTTGGAGAAAGAATCTTGGTTCAGATAGCTGAATCTTGTCCTTGGTAGTTATGTAACTATTGCCAAGTCAGCATTTTTCTGGAACACATAGGTACTGTTAGGTTCTTTACATGTGTGTCTATTCAGTGGGTTTTCTTTGAGTACCAGTCTCATCCAGCTCTATGAAGGTTCTGGTAGCCATTTGGGCCTGGGGTGCTGTGTGAAGTGGGGGAAGCACAGGCTTTGCAGTAATCATGTTCCTAGGGTGTCTTGGATTTGGATTGGTGTGAGGAACTGTGAGTGATCGTTTCAGGTTGTGCTAAGCGTGGCTGACTGTGTCCTACTCTTTTCAGAGGAATGATGGGAAATGCCTGAGCCCTTTGTATTACTGCATTTAATGCCAAAGACAACCTGCTTGTTTGGGTGTAGAAATACACTGAAATCCTTCGGTTTATGTATTTATTGGCTTTATTTTTTGAATTGGGGCTCACTGAGTGGTCTGCAGCTCATGTGTAGACCCAGCCTGAAGCTCATGTTAGACCCAGCTGGCCCAGAACTTTTTGTGGTTCTGCCCATCTTCAGGTGATGGGACAGCAAACACATGCCTCCAGGGAAGGCCACCACTGGGTCTGATAAGAAGCCCTGAGGCATCTAGATGACACTCCGGAGATCTGACTCTGAACTCACTGATTTTGAATGGACGTCTAGATGTCTCTGGACCTCAGTTTCCTCATCATGAGTGTGTTAAATGTAATTGCCTGTGTATCTCTTCTTGTTTGAACATCTAGTTCATGATGGTGAGACCATTTCCCGTGTCCAGCCTTCTCAGAACACTCTCAGGTTGATGCCTTGAGAGAAAGCTGTTGCATTTAGTCTTGGTTTTGAGTACTTTGAAGATAAGTCATAAAGTTTTGGCTTTCATGTTTTTTCAAAATTATTTTTATTTTATGTGTATGAGTATATTGTCTGCATGTGTATAAGTGCACCCCTGTCTTGCAGTGCCTGTGGAGAAGAGGGTGTCCGATCCCCTAGAACTGGAGTTTCCAACACTTGTTAGCCACCATGTAGGTGCTGGGAATCGAACCAGGGTCCTCTGCAAGAGCAGCTTTAACTGCTGAGCCATCTCTCCAGCCCCAGCTTTTACATACTTGAAACGAAAATGTCCGGCCGCTTGTACCCCATGGCTGTTGTGGGTTTTCTTTGGTAACCGAGCAGCCTGACCTGCTGCAGTATGTCTCTATCAGCCACTCACAGGGATACAAGGGAGGGGCCACCCAACTGTAGCAATCAGGTCATAGAACAGCATGGAGAAACTTGGAAAGAGGTCTTCATATAAGAGAGTCCAGCTGTGAATAAACAGATAAAGAAACATGCCCCGAAATGTTTGCTGACTACTTGTGTAACACGGATCAGGTTTTAATTAATGGCGGTGCTGCTCATTGTAACCCACAGACGTCTGTGTGAGCCTAGGTTCAAAACCAGGTTCTGTACAATTTTTTAAGATGACTGATGCTAAATAGCTCTGCCTTTCTTCGATGAAGAATGAGAATCCTTTTCAGTACTGGTATTATGCCCATAACTACACAGACGGAAGGCAGGTAGAGTTGGTGTTGGCCATGGTAATATTGCAGTTCCCACACACTGGCATGTTAGAAGCACCTGGAGGAACCATGAGCTCGTAGAGGCTGGTCTTGCTGCTGGGACACGCTGCTCCCTCGAGATCCAGGTCTCAGAACACCCAGGGGAGAGCTCTGACTTGGTGTGGCTCTCCTTGCTTGCCTGTGCTTCCCAACGCTTTGAACAGAACTTGTGTTTAAGAAGCAAGCCAAACAAACCATTTTTTCCTTGACTTCACCCAAAGCCTCAGTTCTACAAACCTCCTCAGTTTCCATAGAGGGAAGTGTCAAAGGTTCGTTATTTTGGAACAAAATGGAAGAATAAATTGTGGATTCAGTGTGGGTTGTTTTTTGTCTTTTCAGGAAAAGCATAAGCAAGAGCTGGAAGACATGAGGAAAGCCGGCCACGAGGCGCTGAGCATCATCGTGGACGAGTACAAGGTGAGCTCCGGGCTGCTCAGGCAGCTGAACTATGGAAAGTCTCCGTAAGAACTTGACTCGTAGGGCTGTGGAGGCGTGTGCAAGCATAGACCTGTGGTGGAGCATCTGGTACTCATCAGGTCTCTTTGGACTGCTTGCCTAGCGTACCTTCAGGGGTACAGTTGATGTGGGCTCAGGGTTTGGCAGGTTTCAGTCCCTTCTCTTTCAGCTGCTTGCTGTAGACCTGACACAGCTGAGTGTCCTGGTAGAGATTGTGGGTGCAGCCCAGGAGCTGAGAGGGAAAGAAGGGAGTGGGCCATGCCTCCGGGGACGACCCCGCTCCACGTGGGCCCCACCTCCATTGCTGCTGCTTCCCCAAATGCTATCTACTGATGAGGTGTTAGTCACTGTGATCAGTCACTTCACATCAGGTTGCACCATCCGACAGAAAGGCTTAACAGGTGGGCCGTGGGGACACTTCTACTGAATTGTGTAGATTGATTTTATAATCTGCCTCTTTGTTGAAAGTGTTGATCATTTTTAGACCTTTTCTGGTGGAGTTTTTGGGATCTGTTACATATATCATCTGCAACTATGGCTAAATTGGCCTCTTCTTTTCCAGTTAATACTCTTAATTTTTTTCTCCTGTCTTATTGCTCTAGCAGGATTTTCAAGGACTATATTGAAAAGGGGTGGGGATAGTGGATAGCCCTGTTTGGTTCCTGATTTCAGTGGGAATGCTTCCAGTTTTTCTCCATTTAGAATTGTAGATTGATTTTATAATCTGCCTCTTTGCTGAAAGTGTTGATCATTTTTAGACCTTTTCTGGTAGAGTTTTTGGGATCTGTTACATATATCATCTGCAACTATGGCTAAATTGGCCTCTTCTTTTCCAGTTAATACTCTTAATTTTTTTCTCCTGTCTTATTGCTCTAGCAGGATTTTCAAGGACTATATTGAAAAGGGGTGGGGATAGTGGATAGCCCTGTTTGGTTCCTGATTTCAGTGGGAATGCTTCCAGTTTTTCTCCATTTAGAACGATGTTGGCTGTGGGTTTGTTATATATGGCTTTAATTATGTTGAGGTATGTTCCCTCCAGTCCAATTCCCTCTAGGACTTTTAGCATGAATGCATGGTGGATTTTGTCAAAGGCGTCCTCTGCATCTATTGAGATGACCACATGATTTTTGTCTTTGAGTCCATTTATATGATTTATAACATTAATCGACCTATGTATATTGAACCATCCCTGCACCTCTGGAATAAAACTGACTTGATCATGGTGGGATGATCTTTCTGATGTGCATCTGTATGCAGTTTGTGAGTATTTTGTTGAGAATTTTTGCATCTATGTTTATTAAGGACATGGGTCTATAGTTTTCTTTTTTGGTTGTATCTTTACCAGGTTTTGTATTAAAGCGATACTGGTTTTAGAGAAAGAGTTTGGGAGCTCTCCCTCTGTTTCTATCTTTAAGAAGTATTGGTTGTAGATCTTTGACTATCTGGTAGAATTCTGCTGTAAATCCATCTGGGCCTAGGCTTTTTTTAGTCAGAAGGTTTTGTATTACTGTTTCAATTTGCTTATATGTTATGGGTCTGTTTCTTCTTTCTTTAGCTGTGGTGGTTCCCATGAATTTAGAAATTTATCCATTTCATTTAGATTTTCAAATTTAATAGAGTATAGGTTTTTAAAGTATTCCTTTCTAATGTTTTGGATCTTTTTGGTGTCTGTTGTGGTATTTCCCGATTCATCTCTGATTTTGTTGTTTGGATTTCCTCTTTCTTTCTTTTGGTTAACTGGGCTAAGGGTCTGTCTATCTTATTTGGCTTTTCCAAGAAGCAGCTCTTAGATTCATTGATACTGTTTTCTTTGTTTCTATTTCATTAATTTCTGCTCTGATTTTTGTTAGTTCTCTTTTTTTTTTTTGAGACCAGGCTGGCCTCAAACTTGCAGAGATTCACCTGCCTCTTCCTCCCAAGTGCTGGAATTAATGGTGTGCACCACCACACCCGGCAATTTTTATTACTTCTTCTTGTCTCCTGGGTTTAGATTTGGTTTGTTCCTGCCCTTCTGGAGTCTTGAATTCTGCTGTTAAGTCATTTATATGTGATCTTTCTGATGTTTTAATATAGGCACTTAAAAACTTCCCTCCTAGGACTGCTTTGAAAGTGTCTCAGAGGTTTCGTTGTGTTGTAATACCATTTTCATTTAGTTCCAGGAATACTTCTGTTTCTTTCTTAATTTCTTCTTTGACCCAATCATCATTCAGGAGTATGTTGCTTAATGAGTTCATGTGGCTACTAAAGCTTCTTTTGCTATTTTATAGGCTTTACTGCACTGTGGTCTGATAGAATGCATGGAATTATTTCAACTTTTTTGTATTTGTTGAGGATTGTTTTGTGCCCCAGTATGTGGTCAGGACCTTTTAGAGAAACTTGCATGCAGTGCTGACTAGAAAGTGTATTCTTTGGTGCTTAGGTAGAATATTCTGTAGATGTCTATTAGGTCCATTTGATGTAAGACATCTTTTAATTCAGATGTCTGTTTATTCTTTGTCCAGTTGACCTGTCTATTGGAGACAGTGGGGTATTGAAATCACTTAGTATTACTGAGTTGGGGTTAATCTGTGTTTTAGGGTCCTTTAATACTGTTTGAAATTGGGTGCACCAGAGTTTGGTGCATATGTTTTCATGACTATAGTATCTTCTTGGTCAATTGTTCCTTTGGTAGAATGAAGCAGCCCTCCTCTTTATCTCATCTGATTAGTTTTAGTTTGAAGTCTATTTCATCAGATACTAGAATTGCAATGCCTGCTTGTTTCATGGTGCCGTTTGCTTGGAATATTTTTGTTCGTCCTTTCCCCCTAAGGCAGTGCCTGGCTTTGAAAGTGAGATGGCTTTCTTGCAGACAATGAAAAGATGGATTTTCTTTCTTAATCCATTCCACTAGCCTCTTGTCTTTTGACTGGGGAGTTGAGGCCATTGATATTTAGAGATATTATTGAATGATGTGTATTGGTTAATGTCATTTTAATTTCTTTGTTCTTGGTTTGATTTTGTGTTTCTGTTATTATACCTTTGTTTTCTTTCTGTAAACTCTTGGGCATAGCCACTCCTTTCTTTGCCTCTTTGTATTGCTTCAAGCGTCCTCTGCAGGGCTGGTTTGGTGGACATGAATTCTTTCAGCCAATTTGTGTCATGGAAAACTTTCCGTTCTTTGACTGTGATAGATAGTTCTGCTGGGTAAAGAATTCTGGGTTGGCATCCATGGTCATTTTGGAACGGGAATACTTGGTCCAGACCCTCCTGGCTTTCAAAGTATGCATTGAATCATCAGCTGTTATTGTGGCTTCACAATATTTCATTTTCCCTGCTATGAACAGCGACAAATAACAGAACCCCAGGCATCGCAGATAGAACACGTGTTCATGAAGTTTAGAAGAAAGCACGCTGGCCGGGAACCTGAGCTCTGGATGTCTGCATGGCAGCGAGTTTGCAGGGATTTCTTTTCCTCTTTATCTTCTGGAGCCTGGTGCTAGTGATAGAGAGGTCCAGCAATTCCCGTGGCACTGTGAAGGGACAAGCAAGAGTTGAAAGTGGGTCAGAGAACCACTTGAAGACGTGGACAGTGACTTGAGCAGCCTGTGGAATGATCCAGAAGTTCTAGAAGTTTTCTCCTCAGGTTCCTTAAGGGAGAAATGGCAGCCAAAGTCCCCAGACATTTCAAAAAAGTAGATAAAACTCACATTTAATGGTTTGTGTCATCTTGATCTGGGTGCTCAGAAATTTGGTTACTTTTTGAGCATTTCCAAAAGAATTTGGGCGTGTGGCTGAAATTACCATTTAAATGTAGGGACTGGGTGGAAGAGATGACTGCTGTAAGGTGGGTGGGCAGCAGACAGGCTCAACAGTGTGACGGGGCGCTGTGCAGACAGGCTCCACCCATGTGGCCTCTGTAGCTCTTCCTGGGTCCACATGCGAACACCATGTAGACTGCAGTTGTGCTCCAACATGAAGAATTTGAACTTGCTGGACTTCAAAACTGCCCAATCTCATTCTTTGGATTTAAGACACATACCTCTCTACATGGGCAGACAGCCTGTTGGTTCTGTTTCTCCGAGATCTTGGCTAATGCCTGTAGACAAACCTCCAACTGAACAATCTGAAAATCTTGACAGCAGCCGAAGAAAGATAAAGCTGCTAGAGAAAAATGGAAGAGTGATGGTGGACTTCTTGTCTGATACCGTAGAGGCTCGGGGATATGGAACAGCTGCCATTCCCTTGTTGAAAGGCGAATTACCAACCCGGAATTGCACCCGGAACAGGTGGTGGTGGTGTAGTGAGTCAGCAGTCAGCAGGTTTTCTTTTTGTTTTAAGGTGACCTGAGCCATTGTGGTGTGGATCACTGCATTGTAACTTGTGAGTCTTGGTTTTACAGGACATAATAAATCTCTTGTTGCTTTTTAAGGACACATACCGCAAGACAGGCATCGTCTCTGGAGACTGAGTTCACAGGTGTAGTTAGGGCTTGTGTCAGTTTCAGAGTTGTGTGCTGTGCTGCCAAGGAGAGCGCTTAGGGGCCGTGGTCATCTTGTCTGCCCTTGGGTTCCGTTCCAGCCACTGCTCTTTCCCCATTTTACCCAGTATTGACCGAGTTGTGTGGGTATGCACCTGCTTACACCCGTGTGCACGTGTGTATGCATATGTGTGATGTCCCTTTGAAATCACATACAAGAAAGTTGAGAGACACAGACTCGGGAAAGGAGCGAATACAGGGTGGAAAACCTTGAGGTCTAGCTGAAAGTAAGCAACTAGAATTTGCCTTACATCAAGACTTTTTTTTTTTATATTTTTTAAACTTAAGCCTTGTTTTTCTGGATATGAGATAAGTGGTCACCGTAAGAGAAAAATTCTTTATGGTGAAGGATTGGTTTAACAGCCCCGAGGGATTACCAAGGAAAGCCACACGTGGGGAAAAATGGACACAGTGTCTCAATAGGTGGGGCTGTGCGTCTTAAGCC